ATTCACCATCAGCAAAAAAAATGCTAGAAATGCTGCTTTTTTTGTTTTCTCCCCCCCCCCACTCCACCCCTCTTTGTGGAGAATTCCCAACTTTTAGCTCAAGAAGATAAAACATTCCTGAAGAACATTTAGAAATGGGACAAAAAAAAAAAAAAAAAGACATTGTTGGGATGAATTCCCGGTGTGACCCTTCAGCGATACGAGCTCTACTGTGTGACCCGGGTCCTGCTGTTGGCTGGTTTGTTTGCATGTGCTCAACCAGCCACAGCAGGGTGCAGATAAAACAGGTTGGGGGGGGGGGTCCGGCTCTTTGATAATAATGTTATTCCTGAATTATCTGCTCAGAAAGCATGTTATTACTAATTAATCTGCCTGCTAATCACTAACAGATTAACTATCCTGCCTTTCACCTACGAGGAGCGGGGATTAGGTGACAACAGCTGGAGAAATGAGTAATTTGATGCAGTTAAGATTCACCTAACCTGTTTGCCTGTTTGCTGTTTTTGGTTTTTTATTTTATTTCATGAGGTAAATCCGTAAAGTGGCTCGTGTTTCTAACTCTTGAGCGTTTTTGTGCCGCTGGAGACACGCGTGGATCCGCTGTGAGATGTGAGAAACGCCAGACTCTAATAGTCGCGGTGATGAATTAGGAATCACTCAGCCGAGCGACAACACGCAAAAGAGTCTCTCCTTTCAGTGAGGAGTCAGACAAACGCATCCTGGTTTTCATTCCTCCCTTTTTTTTTTAGTCTTCATTTTACGAGCGCTTTTTCAGTTTTAGACTTGTAAAGTAGAGTTAAATCAGCGTGAAAATGAATTAAAGGGTTGGACTTTCCTTTTATCGTTATCTACGTGTGGCCAAGTCTAGAAAAAAGAAGCGAAGCTATTTACTGACTCTTTTGTCCCGTTTTATTCAGGCTAATGTGGAATTCCTCCTGGTGACTCAAACAAGCAGAAATATAGACGTAGTCAATCAATTTCACCTGCTGATGACATGAAGTCAAACTCTATGCAGGAGAACATAAATTACAGTAGACTCCTAACACAAAGCGTAAATGGACATGTAACATTTTTCATAAAATACTTTTTTTTTTTTTTTACAATTAAGCTTAAAAATTGTGACGAGTGACAAATCTTATTCCTTTATTAAGTATCATGAATAAACACTTATTTTGCTGTCTAGCTGATTTATAATTATAGACAGAATTTTTTTATTTTGCCATTTTTATGAATTAAATAATAGCAAATCCTTTAATTCCATGTGCTTCACACTGTAATCTTAAAATGTAAAATCACATGCTTGGGAGACGCTCGAGTTTTAAAAGAAAAGAAAAGAAAAAACGTTCAAAGACGAGAAGGTTTCCCCCCCAAAAAGAAAAAAAAAACAAACACTGTGACCGCAGAAAGAAGAGGACGCAATTTAGAGTTTGTCAAATGTAAAATAATTATCTAAAAAAAAAAAAAAAAAAAAAAATCAAACTGAGCAACTTGAGCAATCAATCACCTTGTGAACCTTGTTCCAACTCCTGTAGTGAAATGTTTTCCTGGGAAAATAAAAGATGAACTCTGGACAAGTTCAACGACTGAAAAATAATTTGTGATGTATTCTTTCACAATAATGAAGGATTTTTTTTTTATTTAAAGAAAAAAATTGGATTTATAAAGACCTAATGTGGCTTCACCAAATGATGCTGGAATAGTTGACAAATTTTGTGAGACTTTTATAACCGGAAGCATCATAAATGTCCTCACGGGGACTAAAAAAAACTCGCAGGGCGAAAAAGCTTTGCTGCTCCAAACTGCAAGGCGACTCTGATGAGGGTCAAACATTAACGGCAACAAGTGGCTCCTCGGTTAGCGATGCTTCGATCCACGCTGCTTCCGCCGAAATTAGAGTTTTCCATCGTTTTCTCCACACTGTATCAGATTTGTGGCTTTGCTTCGTTTGGGGTTTCTAGATAATCTTTATGTGCTTCGAAGAAGTTAACTCAGACGCCCCGGTACCGAAGGCAACACAGCTTTCTCAAAATCACTTTATATAATTTAGGAACTAAAGGATAAATCAATACGAGTCTATTCGTGGAAAATCCCCCTTGATTTGAATTGCTTTGCCTACATGTATGTGTGTGAATCTCCCACTTGTGAACCTTCGTCAGTGGATTCAGGGAGTGAAAAGTGAACCTAAAGCAGGGGGTGACGTTCGTCCTGCCGTCTTACTTTACCTGTCTGGTTGCGGGCCGCTGGCTGGGTGTCCATGCAGCTGCTCAGATACGACGGGTTGCTGAACATCCTGCTGGGGGGCTGGTGGTGGTGAGGGGCCGCCACAGGCGTAGGCTGGCTGGGTGCCGCCGGGGCAGGAGGAGGGGCCCCAAACGCTGCCCCATACCTGCAGGCCCCGGTGCCCGTGAACTGACCCGAGAAATGCACGGTGAAGGCGCTGAGACCGCAGTGGGGGTCTGTGTCGTGGTGGTGGGGGTCCCCTGTGGCTCCCCAGCTGGGCTCCTGCTTGATAAAGGAGTGGGGCCCCAGAGAGGAGTGGGGAGCAGCAAGGGAGGGGTAAGGGGAGGCGGCGGTGTGGAAGTCCAGGACGGGAGCCCACTGAGGGGCCGTGCTAACTGGCAGCGCTGTGCAGCCGGGACTGGGACCCGGCGGGACCGAGGGCAGCAGGGAGTTCAGATCACGCACGTCTGAACTCATCATGGTCCAGGGGCGAAAGCCTAAAAAACTGGAGGCAATTTTTAAATCAGTCTTGTCTCCTTTCACGCGACACCCTGTGGATCCTTCTTCTCCGAGCTCTGTGTCCTTCACACTCTGGAGGCTCCTCGAGTCCGGCTAAAGTTCATGGCAGCTTCCCCCCCCCAGCAGCTCAGATCTTCGGTTTCCATCCAGAGCTATCAGCTTAATGGCTCTGAGGGTCCATCCAGGAAGAAGAAGGGCTTCGGCTCAGAGGTTTCTCTGTGAATGAAGGAAGAGGAGTGGAGGAGTGAGGAGGAGTAGACCTCTTTTCCCTCCACTGTGTTCGCCTGAGGATCTGTGAGTGTGTGTGAGGAGGGTGGAGGAGGTGGAGTCAGATGTGGGACAGAAACCTCTGACTTCATTCATCTACTGTCCACACACACCTTCACACTTACATCTAGACAGAAAATAAAGGCAGAGATAAATTAAGGGAAAAAAATACAGCGGATACTTTTATCAGTATCAAATGATATTCTAATTCTAAAACAAAAAAAAAGAAACACTAAATTAGTTGCTGGTGTTGATGCCTCTAAAATCATAAAACTACACATTTTTAAATGAATTACTAAAGACAAAATCACAACATGAATCCATCAAATATTATTTGATGGATTATTTGATGGATTCGGAATAAATCAGTGAAAACGTTACTTATTCTTAAATAACAAACATTATTCCCAACGTTTCATTGCGGAGACCTGGAGGCAGTCCGAGGCCCAAAAATTGGTTTAAGTAAATTATCAAGTAGAACTCACATGTAAAATGAAGGCAGACTTACCCTAAACATGGAACCGAATTTTTAAAATTTGTTTCTCGATCATTTCGGTGGGGAAAAGAAGGGAGTAACACTTTAATTAACCCGCTGGTAGATTAATTGTCGGGTTCCGCGTGAGCGCCCTGCGTCTCAATAAATCTTCCGCTCCTACGTTCAGGCCTCCAACTCACTCTGGATGTTTATTTTAGTTTATCTTATTTCTTATTTACGCTTTTATTTTATTATATATATATATATATATA